TTTGTCGTCGCCCCCCCCCCCCCCCCTTTTTAATGGATGGGTTATATCATCTTAGTTAAAATAAAAATAAAAATCCTTTCTGAGTACTTGCTTCCAGCCTCCATCATCATCAGTGAAGAATAATTGACAGTGCAGGATCTCTAGAGTGTTCAAACCACTTGAACTGGCAATAACTGGCAGTAATAACAGGGTATTAGCCTCCTCGATAATCAGATGGTCTTTGTTAATGCAAGGATAAAGATACTTTCTCCCCTAATGGATGAAATAGGCTTTTGCTGGCAACATTTGCTGGGTATTTCAAGACTTTTGGGCTGGTGCCTTTAAATGCATCTGTTCTGCTGTATAAAATCACCATCTTGTTTTGCCTCAGGGTCTTTTCAGCCAGTTACCCTCTGTCTTAGTTGGAATTATAGGGTAGGGTAAAGTTTAAACCTGCAGAGAGGTTTCAACAATCTCAGCATTTGTTACACAAACCACATATTTTGGAGGATGAGGGTAACGGTTACCAGCCCCCTTTCACAGTCAGAAGAAACATAATCCTCAAATGCTAAATTAAGTCTCAGTGATACTGTAGTTATGTGGCACTTTATCTTGGGAGAAAAATTTCTGAAGTGTGGTCAGCTCTTCTTGATACTTTGACTGATGACCAGCAGAGGGCAAAATAAGGTAATGAAGATTGCAGTTTTCTTTAGGAAATGTGTGTTTTATTAGAATAAAAGCATATAATAACAGTGCTCTGTCAGTCCCACAGTGATCCCTTCGAAAGCCTGCGAATACATTTACATGTTCCCCCTCTTTCTCTTTAGCACCCCCTCCCCCATTCCTCTTTTTAAAAGAGGGTCTCCTTTTGGCTTTTTGCATTTATCTCAATTATGCTAGCTCATTATGGACTCAATTTACCAAGGAAGATAACATGCTTTCTGAATGACATGCAACCCATTCTGGGTTAAGAAGGTCAAGCAAGATTACTTTCTTTTGTCATCTCACAATTAATAATAGTAAGGCAGAGCATTAGATAAGGGCAGAGCATTTTCCTTACATATATATGCACACATACACACACATGATTACATTTCAAAGTTATACAGTAATTTGCCTTCTGAAAAGATTCAGTATTTTTCAGCCTGATTTTCTCTGTTGTCTGGAAAGTTCCATGGAAAACTAACAGAAACTCGTACATTCTCATCAGTATTCATAGAGGGTTGGTTTGTTTGTTTGTTTTAACCTGTAAGAAAAGGCAAAACAAGGAGGGATTCTGTATTTATAAATAAGCATTACAGGAAGCTTTGCTTCAGCTCTGTTAGATGTACCTGAGTTGTACATGGGTTTAAATTGTAGATTTGATTCAGCCATGGTTTAGACTCTGTTTATATGTAGATACTGAGGACCTGAGGCATTGAGATCCTTTCAAAGTCCCATAAATGTAAATGGAGCGTAACTGGACTTCTGGGATGGATGGCAATGCCGGACCAAAAAGATGCACTCAGAGAAATGCATTTCTGGTCTTCCATCATTTCTGTCTCCTGGGATGCAAAGAGTTATTTGGTGGGGGGAGAAAAGTGTTAAACTGTATTTATTAAATGAGATGCAACTTGGAACTTTGTTGGAACAAGGGATGCTAATTTACATTGGTTTATTATATGTAAACTGTAAGGTTGTCAAAACATGTAAGAATTTTAGCAGGCCTCTCCCAGGTATTACATACTTTCTGGGTAATTACTTTTGTATACGGTGAGGGATGGTGCTGGCTTGCATATAATGGAAAATTATAGTTTCAGGATGTCAAAATGAAAAGGGATGAAGCTTGTAATACAGTCTGTTGGCTCTAACCATTATGTGTAGTACTTGATGTTTAATCTGAAATGTTAAATTCTTCTGATAAGTATGTTTGCTTTTTGTTTTTCTCTCATTTACTTTCAGGCTAGATCTTTCAGTAAGAAAGTTCCTGTGAAGGCATATCCTGCTTTTTTCTGTACGGTGGGTGTGATATCATGCACTCTTTAAGTGATGGACTCATTTCTGTGCTAATATGTTTGTGAAGAGTACAGTATCAAATCAAGCATGGTTAACTAATGCTTCATGTGTCTGTTTTGGGAGGATGTAATACCTAAAACTTCTGAATATCATAGTGTGTGTCTGACTCTGGAACCTCCTCATAGTTTTGATCAGCACTTCTAATACTTCTTCTTCAACTACATCATTTTGCCCAAGATGTCTGTATATTCATAGACCATCGTTCTCACACAAGGGCCCAAAATCTTGTCTATAATTTGCTGTTTGGTCTAGTAAAAGATAATGCTTCTCTTCAGAAAACCTGCCCCTTTTTTTTACCCTTTGAACGTGATGGTTACACTACCACTTAATAAAACAGGCAAACTGTCAAGCCTTTTTGCAGTTCCTCATTCGGTTTCATGTATTGCTTTTTAAACTTTAATGCCCAATTATTTGTGTGCACCATATGGACTAAGCTTTTTTCTTCTTTTCTAGGTTGCTTTAGATGATTATTTATGTAATATGCGAAAAGTGGACTTCAATATATTTCATCCAAGCTTACAAAAGAAGAGTACCTTATTACCATTGCATTTATATATTAGATCTTGGAAAAAAACATATTAAATTTTCTTAATATGGGTTCAGAGTGCTGAGTTTTTTCTTTAATGTCTTAACTTGATGGAATTGTTAAGTGTCTAACTTCACACTTCTGCAAACTGTAGTTCATGGGAAGCAGCAGATGCGCGTGAACTGTAGCTGTCAGCTTGCTGGCAGCAGTTAAGTTTGTTCTTGGAATATTAGGCTGATATCTCTGCTTCACATGTCTGCCAAGTCATATGTCCTTGTCTGAGATTACTTTTCTTGTCTTTCCTGTAATAACAGCAATATGATAGAATTCTTCTTGGACAAATTCTTTGCTAATGGATACTTCTGACAGTTCTGACACTTTACTGGGGAAAAAAAAGAAAAAGGCTGCTTTGTTTGTGCCCAAAAGCAGTTAGAGTAAATGCCTTATAAAATCAGCTAAGCAATTCTATTTAATGCAAGGAGCAGATGTTTTGCGAGTACTAATGATGCTTCATAGTTGGAAGAATGAGCACATATAGAAGAAAACTGTCAGGAAAAGCTTTAGCTGTTTTAATTATGTAGTGTTTATGCAGAATTTCAGAATGGTGAAATAGAGCTGTAGTACAGAAATTACTTAACTGTGTGTTGAGATCGAGCCTTGAAGTGACTACAGGTAGTAGGAGGATAGCACGAAGAGAACCCTTGTGCAGTTTTTACCTCCAACTCAGCCAAAGGCTTTTTCAGTCTGCTCTTAGCTTGGCAGTGCCTTCCTCCTGCCCTCTCGTCTCTCTGTTGTTGCCCACAGCTGTCACTGCAACATGGGATCGACTGCCCCTTTGTTCACATTCACCATGTCTCAGGACACCCTCCTGCGAGGCTTCCCTGAACTCTTTTTCTTTGGTACTGTGAAGAAACATATTCCTGAATGTTCCAGGTCATTTTAGTCCTCCCTCTCTGTAAAGATACTACTCTGTTTTTTTGGTGGGAAATTACTGGGAGCTTTGTACTCAGCATCTCTTCAGATCAAGGTAAATATTTCTGTCTGATTCGTTGTTTGGTAAAATAATACTTCCTAACATCCAGCTTGATTCAGTTGAACAAATCCGGTAGTTTATTCTGCCGTCATCCTTGTTCTACTAAATAGCTGCTTTCCCCAGAGATTTTTTTTTTTTAATCGGGGTTAATCTCCCCAGATGCTTGGTTGTATAACAGCATCCTGTATTTTAGTGTACAATGCTACATAATGAATTTCTGAGAGCAAGATTCGTGGCTTTTTTAATCACAGAAACTGGCAGCATGGTAGAAATCTTAGGAACCCAACATTAAATCCTTCATTCGGTGATTTTATTTTACATGTTTGAAGTCCGTTTGTGATACCCATCTTGGTTAATTCTGCAGTTTCCTACCCCTGAGTAAGACATGTCTCTTTTAATTAGTTCAGCTCAGGATCTTGGTTTCTGTATTACTACTAGAGGTGTAATAATCAAGGTGGATAGGAACCTAGAAAAATCAGTGTATACTGGTTTGGCAGTATACGGGCTATTTTCTAAAAGTAAAATCTTAACAGGCTCTTTCCACTTCTCGAGTCAGCTGCTGTAGCTTATCATTGGTGTTCCTGAATGTGGCAAAGAGGCCTGGTGAACAGAAAATATTTCCTTCCTATGCAGGCACCGCAGCTCTTCCTGCCAAACGCAGAGCAAAGGCTTAGGCTCTGTTGCTGCCACCAGGCCAGCTGCACATTCACTCTGTTCAGTGTATGTTCTGCAGAAAGCATTACAAATGTCTCTTTCTGCGGTCGGTCCTCATTTTGCTCCAAGCACGTTGAGTCAGGACAATAGGGGCAGCCCTGTCTGTCCTCTCACAAGGGATCGCTCTCCTGTGAAGTTAACTTTTGGCAGGAGCGCGGTGCAGTAAGGAGGAAAAGAAGGAAACCCATGCAGTATCGCCAGTGCATCGGGTTGCTACAGTGATACCTTGCTCCCAGGCCACACGGCCAGCGCTTTGCTTCGGTGTTGAAGTGGAACAAATCTTGACAATGTGCTTACAAAGGCATCAATGGAAGGGCTGATTTGTTCTCGTGTAGAAAAGAAGCCATGTGACGCAGTGAATGGTTAGCATGGTGAGGGCGACTTACCAGTGAATTAGTAAACAGGATATGGAATAAATAAATCCAAGTTATGACTTCAGTCACAAGAGAGTTTTGAGTGACCTCAAAGTAAAGCAGCACTTGGAAGGGCAACTGACAGGAGGCTGCTTGAATAAGCAATCTGTGTCTCCTTTGTATCCTTCAGGGAACAGCGCTCTCTGGATGCTCGTGCCTGATTCTGCCCTTAGGGACAGTGTTCTGAATGGAGGCATTAAATACCTGTCAAACAACGTAGTCTTAATTTGCTTGCTTTCACTAGTATTTTATTTCTTGATAGTGATTGGTGCCATAGAAGAAATTCCATTCGTCAGTTCTGATAATTTATGATTCCACATCCTACCAAAATTTGTCCTATTTCTGCTTTTTTTTTTTTTAATCTGATAAAATAGTTTCTCATATTGGTGCTAACCTACTGGTCATTTTTATCAGCAAAGCAACTAGCAAAACTGGCAAATCTGTTGCTACCTGCTAATTACACTTTGGAAAATAATTTCCATGCCTAGTTACATCATGTCTAGTTAGCCTGGTCCAGGTAAAGCGGTGTCCAGCGGGTATCCTCCTCAGTGGCCTCATATGTTTTGTGTATCTTTATGGTCTTGCTTTCTTCTGGTTAAGCATAGGATTCTATCTCCTCCTTTCTCTTCAGAGCAGTTCACTGGAGTCAGTTCCAGAGGCTTTTTCCACTTAGACCTGCAGGTTTAAGATAGCAAAACATCAGAATTGCATTACTGCTGTAACAGATCCTATTTTGTCCATGGTAGGTAACAGCTATGGGGTCAAAAGTGCTGACCAGATTGAAACACACCAGGCATCACTTGCCCAGTGATCTTGCTTTGATTGGTTTCCCATTTAGCCATCTAATAGTCTAGTAAAAGCAAACCAAAGAAAAGATTAATTTTCAAGAAAAAATGCAAACCCCTCAGTCATCGCTTTTGAGAAATACATCCTCCAGATTGTCCCTGCTTCCCTCACAACTTAGCATCTGAATATCTGCATCTTATTTTGGTCCTCTCTAGTGTCACAATGTTCAACAGTACCAGAAAATGCTTTCCAGCCATAAACATAGGACCTGCTATACTGTAAAAGGGGAGTGCCACGTACTCTACTTCTTTTAACGTTTGTCTTGGTGCTTTTCAAAGGAAGATACAAAAGAAACCATTTAGATGATTATAAGCAGTCTGCCAAAATCGAAAGGGTTTTTTTTTTTTTTTTTTTCTTACTGCTCTGATGCCAGGGTAAGGCCTGAACTACGAATGTTTAGTTATAAAGGGATTTGGAAGGTGGATACAGTGTTATGCGGAATGTTCTCAGAACCTGTTTTCCATTGCGTTTGCTGATGACAGTTGTGCATTCTCAAAACTACGCTTGCCCTTCTGTCCCAAAACATCATTTTTTGAGCTTTTATGAATCTTGCTCTAAGCCTACAGACTTTTTTTTTTTTTTAACTGTGGCTGACCCTCAACCACTTTGAATCCATTGAAGTCGATCCAGTAAAAAATTGTCATAAATAACATCCACAAATACATAAAACAGGACAAAACATACAAGTAATCCTTTATGCTTCAGGCTATACATTGATTGGTATTTGCCTTTATAAACAGGCAGCTGTTCACTGATTTACGTTCTCAGCTGAAGCAAATGGTGTTTAGCATCCTGCTCCAATAGGGCCAAGTTATATATGCAATGGGTTAACCTATGGATGTTTTAGATTCTCTGTTCTAGGATGGGCCTCTCTGTATCTCCACAGTCAGAAAGGCACGCTAGGTGCACCTATCTGTTTCGTGCATAAAAAAGTTGGGAGTCTTTAAAGGAGGATGCTGGTTTTCTTTCTTCATACTAGAGGGGGGGACTTCTGAAACCTGTAGTTGTGCAGTAGTAAGTGGTAGAGGGTTTTTTGGCAAGTCGGCTGTGGAAGGCAACTTGTACGTGGTAGCTGTTCAAACTTTGTAGTTTATTAATCTGAAGACTCCAAAGGAATAATAAAAAAAATGTCAGACTCTATCAGTCACTATTCAGAAGGTTGGAATTTGCCTAAGAACAGAAATCCTTTTTGTTTTTTCCTGTTGTACATAATGCACAAAATCCTCAGCTTATTTCAAGTTGCAGGTAGGCAGTGTGTGACAAGACAGGGTATTTTCGTTAGTTCAGCTCTAATTGATTTGTCCTTTCATTAAATTAGCTCAGTTGTAGTTCATCAGCCTAAACATTTTTTTCTTTAAGCACCTAAGGAATCGGTATGCCCACTTAACCTTCGGATTCACCGACAACTTGCTCTAATAGGTTGAAAGATTTCCTTTTCCTAAATAGCCACAAATGTGTGTCTTCTGTTTGCTTTTCCCTATGGGCAGTATCTTAGCAGGAACAAATCAGGTCAATTGGGCGTACAGATCTGTTATGCAAACACCGTGATGATTTCACTCAGATATTCAGTACAGCATCATAAAAATAGGGCCGAAAGGGAGCCTGGGACGTAATTAAAGTGCCAGTCCATCTATTAGCAGAATCAAGTGTAGTCGTAGCATCCAGTTACCCATTTTATGGATGAAATGTTATGTGTAAATGGATTATGTTATGCATTAAATAACAGGTTTTCTTTTTTTATTGTCAGCGATTCGGAATTTATCATTTATTATAGTTTAGGAAGATAGCAGAAAGGACTCAAAATAATGTTTGCTTTCAGTTTTTCAGGATTTACAGCTACTCTTCAGGATTATTTTAAAGCAACATAAAGGATGTTTTAAATCACATTGGGTTGTCAGTGGAGCGAGGGTGGGAGCACATCCACAGGTGACTCTCAGTAATACAGCGACTGCCGTCGTGTTTGCTGCCTGCTACTGCTCCGTCTTTAATCTGTGCCAACAGGAGAGGGGCTGTAATAGGAGGGGAAATTTTGTAGACTGATCCATCTCGTATGGTTTTGTACAT